CGCAAACTTGGCTAACGTGCCAGAACCAACCCGGAACTCCAATCCCAAGCTCGAAGCTTTAATAATCGCCCAGATCCCTTCAACCCCTTGCCCTAACCCTCGAATCCCCAACCCTACGCCCTCATTAAGCCCTAAACTAAGCTTCGAAATCCTTGAATAGCACCTCTCCCTAAACCAGGTTCAGGCCCATCTGCAGAATGTTCAGAAGATCAAGTCCGCGGAGCTTTGCGCTGCGATTTCGGGATTTTTTGGTCCGGGGGTGTTGTGGTTCGTTGGAGCAGGCTTGGTGCTAAGGGGCCAGAGCACTTTAGCCTAGGGTTTAGGGTTGAGGGTTTAGGGTTTAGGGGACTTTAGCGTTTAGGATTGCAACATCTTGGTTGGGAGTTCATCCCTCTTCTGACCGTTGAAGACCGAAGGAGCAAGCCTTCGCAGCTTTGCTGGCTGATGGCTCGGTTAGAGCGTGGGGCAATGCAGTCAGCGGAGGAGATGCAGCCTGCACCTGTGAAGGGATTCAGCAAAGATTTTTGGTTAAGAGTGTAGGGTGAACGGGGTTTGAGTTTAACTCGGGTCTCTGCCGCAAAACCGTGAACCCTTGGCCTTTAACACCCCCAAACGTTCGGGACCCCCTAAACACCGGCGGTTTCGGGTAAGAAGAGCCCAGGCGTGCAGGAGCAGCTGACGAAGGCGGGATGCCGTCCCTGCTTTTCGGCGGCGGGGAATCTCACAACCCGCTCTCGAACAATTTGGGTTTAGGGTGCAGGGTGTTAAGGGTTTCGATGTTCAGCATTAAGGGCGATTTTGTTCTTGATTTGGGGGTTTTGGCGGTGTTAAGTCGTCCTAGTTTACAAACACCCGCAAAAGCTATGAAACACCAGTAACCCCTTGCCAACACCCGTACATGGAATCCTTTCCAAAGCATCTTGCAGTAGACGCAAAAGCCCTAATCTAATCATCTAGGTCCCTGTCGTATCATCTGGTCCCTGCAGTATCAAAGCCCCATACCCAAAGCGTTAAACCGTAACCCAAAATCCCTAGCTTAGAAATTGCAGGCACCATTAGGCGGATGGAAAAAGGCGCTCAAGAACAACCCCTAAACCCTAAACTTTAGGCCCTAAACCAAACCCTAAACACTAATATTAACCCCAACCCCTAAACCCCTAAACCCTAAACCCTTAAACCTTAAACCCTACAGACCCCTTAAAGGAGCCCTTATAGATCCCTTTAAAGGAACCCCTTAAACCCTAAATCCGAAATCCTCCGGAGAGGTCGTCTCCATCCACGCGACCAGGTCGGCCTTCGCTGCGCTGCGCGAGGACGGATCTGCCTCTGGGTCGCAGGTTTCCCAGAGTCCAAGGGTTTAGGGTTTAGGGTTTTCGGGTTTAGGGTTTGGGGTTAATATTAGTGTTTCGGGTTTAGGGTTTAGGGTTTAGGAAGAGGCTCCAATATTAGGGGTACCTTAAAGGTTCCTTTAAAGGGCTAGTAGAAGGGTACCTTAGGGGTTCCTTTAAAGGGCTAGTAGAAGGGTACTATAGGGGTTCTTTTAAAGGACTCTATAAGGGTTTAGGGTTTCCGAAATTTGAGGGGACCTTATCTTGGGGTCCTTATAATAAGGATCCTACTATTTGGGGCCCCCTATTTTCGGAAACCCCGTATTCCTTAATTTATGAATACCTTGGGTTCCTCTACGGGATCTATACGGGATCTATAGGGTTTATATAGGGTTTAAGGGATTCCAATATCCCTTACTTTAGGAAGATACCTTAAAACCATATTAAGGATCCTACTATCAGTTAAGGTTATGCCTTAATTAAGGGATATTGGAGTCTCTGGGTTTGGGCAGGGAGAACTAATTCCTGGACCCTATAAAACCTTCCTTTTTAGGGCTCCCTATTTCGATTTCCGTATATAAGTCCTAAAAAAGCATGTTGTTTGGGGTTAAGGTACTACTAGATTGTATGGAATACTGTTGTATATGTGTTTATCCTGCATAGCGTATATGCCATAATTGTGTCATGTAGTTTCTGCCCATTGTGTATTGCAAAAAAGCATCTGTCAAATTTGATACAGTATATGTATACTGCTTGCATTGTTTATGATCTATCCCTAAACCCTAAACGCCCTAAACCCTGACTCTTTCTTGCATATCATTCATGATCGATGAGATTTTATCGGCTCCAAGGTAGGAAACCCTTCCATTTCCAAATAAACAATCCCTTCTTTGGTGAACCCTTTAAATCTAGAAGTTTCCTGTCTGGGGGGATCCTTGCATTCTGATCCCAGTGTTTGGTATGAAGGGCCCCCTTCTTTCCGAAATGTTCAATAATTCAAACTCTCGGAGTTGCCAGTTCCTGGCACTAGTAAGCCCTAAACCCCATACAAGCACTTCCCGATTCCTGAACCCGTTCTTCAAAATTCCAGACGGTGCCATCGCGGGCCTTTTGTTTACATCAGCCTAAACCCTAAACCCTAAGCCCTAAAGCCCTAAAGCCCGAAACCCTAAAGCCCGAAACCCTAAAGCCCTAAGGCCCTAAAGCCCTAAAGCCCTAAAGCCCTAAAGCCCTGAAGCCCTAAAGCCCCAGGACTTCCGAATGATAATCCTATAAGGTTCGGAGCCCACTTCCGAATGATAATCCCATGATTGATAGTCCACTAATAAGGCCGGGAGCCCAAGGTGATAATCGAAGGAGGTTGGGAGCCCAAGGTCTTCAGGATAATAATCCAATAAGGTTCGCAGCCCAAGGGCTTCCGAAAGATAACGCAGTAAGGTAAAAGCCAGAAAGTTGGAATATGATTATCCTAACCCTTCCCATGAAACCATATTCCAACTTTCTGGAGTTCCCTGTAAGGTTTGGAGCCCAAGGCCTTCCGACGATATGTGGTGATGATTTTGCTCGGGATAAGGCCACTGTTTCCAGGACGACGTTGCCGATGGTCTTGATGGTTCCGCTGAAGACGAAGATGATGTTTACAACGCTTGTGGCCCCGTAATGATGACGACAAATGTGACCGGTAAGGCCTGCACTCCAATTCCTCCGTAACCCTCGCCAAGGTGGTGGTTTGGGGTTCGCCAAGTGACGGCGGGGATTGCCGGTCCGTGGCTGACCAGCTCATCGCGGTATCTGAGATCCAGGCAGGATTCCTGATCATAGGGTTTAGGGTTTAGGGTCAGTATTTCCAAGGGTAAAAGGAGGGACCCTTAATAAGGACCCCTAGGTATATACCCTTAATATAGCTATGATATACCCATTATATAGCCCATTGTAGGGTAGGGGTCCCCATTAAGGGTCCCTCCTTTTCCCCTTTGAGGATTCCGGATCATAGGTGTTTTGGACTGGGCTTCATCGGGTCTCAGCTGAGGCTGTGACATGTTGAGTGAAAGAAAACTAAGTACATGCAAAAGGTTGAGAAGTAAATGAGCCATGTGTATGCATATATGCCCACATACGTAAATAGTTGTTATACATATTCATGTACATATACACCACATATATACATATACATATACATGTAATTGTACATGTACATGTACATATACACATATTTATGCTTATACTTCTACTTTTACTTATACATGTACACATTGTACATGTACATATGCATCTACAAATACATAAACATATACATATACATGTACATATGCATACACATACACATACACATGTACATAAACATATACATACACAAATACTCACACACATACAAAGACATATACACATACACATAAACATACACATATCTTTGTGTTTTGCGGGCTGTTGGTTTTACGAACGTGGAGGTTCACATGCCGTTTGTTCATCATCACCTTATGGGTCTTGGCATCTGGTTCTCCGGGAACTTCGGCGCTGATCTGATTTCCAGGGAGTGCTTGAAGGACTTTCTGAGTCTCTGAAGCCCTTGCGGGCCCAAGCCTGTAGTCTGGCTTGGGGCCCAATGCCGCAGAAGAGCCAGACAATCGTGATCTTAGTCGGACGTTCTTGCGCTCCTCAGAAGGAACCCCGAAACCATACTTTTCTGTGCCAGGCCGCTCGCAGCGCATTTGTCGCGCTCCGCGCGGATGGCTCCGTTGTCTGTTGGGGACGGGAGGCCTGCGGGCCCCTTCTGTTGTGCTTGGGCTTGTTCTAGAGGCTTCGACTGTGGCATTGCCGCTGGTGTTGCTTGTCCTGCTGCTACTCCCACCACCACAACGACGACGACATCTACCAGTAACGCTAGTACGACTCCGATTACCTCGACGACGACTATAGGGACAACGACAACCACCACGACCACGACTCCACCTTCTCCAGCAGTAGTAGTAGTAGTAGTAGTAGTAGTAGTAGTAGTAGTAGCAGCAGCAGCAGCAGCAGCAGCAGTAGCAGTTTTTGCTTTTTGTTCGTCCTCCTTTTCGTCATGTTGCTGATGCTGATCACTACTGACAACTTACTGTGACAACGATGCTTTTGCTGTGTACCACCTCCAGTGCCGACAACGGCTTCACGACGGCTCTCCTGCTGCAAGTTCCGGCTCGCAATCGAGTTTTTTCCGAGCTTACATTCTGATGTTGTTGATTTTTTCAGTCAGCAGCTTCGTTGAGTGAGATCTTCGCTTGTCTTTTTACCACGGAATGCAGGATTTAGCAAGCGGCTGTCGGCTCCAGCAGTGTCTGAGATTCAGCGTCCAGAAATCCATGACTGCAAACTGTAATTCCTAACCATGTGGTGGGGTTTAGGGCTTTGCTTGCTAGCTAGCCGTGGGATCTTTCCCCGAAGTCGCACTTCCGGAACGAGAGGTTAGCGTCCGATCATGGTTGCGGCTGGTGCAGGCCATGGGCCTGACAAGAAAGTGCAAAACTTGGGTACGGCCCCCACTCAGTAACAGTTGGATAATATTCATAGTATAGATATATAAGGCCCTTAATAGTAGCCCTTTTATAGACTGTTACTGTATGGGGGCCGTACTCATGGCAAAACACAGTATGCATAGGCTTCTAGTCAGACATCGTTTCCGCTGCCCATTCCGCCATGAGTGTCTGGCCAGATGAGAGCCGGGCGTATGATGAGGGTGGAGAGGAAGACGCATATGATGATGATGTTTGCTGCGGAGAATGCGCAGACGAACCTCACGATGCATGGGATGACGAAGAGGCGTATGATGAGGGTGGACAGGAAGAGGCATATGATGATGATGATGATGTTTGCTGCGGAGAATGCGCAGACGAACCTCAAGATGCATGGGATGAAGAAGAGGAAGAAGAAGAGGACAAAGCAGACGACTACGACGAAGAGGAGGAGGAAGGCTACCTAGAAGAAGGTTGGGAAGAAGGTGAGGAGGAATTTGCCGAGGAAGACCCAGCTCAAGAGGACTGCGAAGTTCCTCAGGAGCGGTCGAAGCCACCGCAGAACAAAAAGGCCGGGACACGATATTTGCACCTCCGACCGCAGGACGTTCGCTTCTCACAAGCCACCATAAAGCAACTTGAAGTCATCGGTACGGGTTTTGCTCGCAAAAGCGGTTTAGGGCCTAGGGTGCGTTTGTTTTATCCCTGTAGGTTTGCTCAACTTTTCAGTATTCCTGCGTTGCAGCTTGAGAATGAGGCAAACATTTCAGAATGACGTCACCTTAGACGAGACGCTAGGGCAACTTGCAAGCAAATGCACCGCAAAGCGAGCGGTGAACATGATCAGAGTTGTGAAGCATCAGGGCCAGATCTTCACGCTGGACAATCGTCGGCTTGCAGTCTTCAGGCTGTTGAGTATTCTTGGCGAGGTTCGGGGAATCAAGGTGCGAGTCGTGGAGAAAACACAGGAATGGCATCAGAAGTTCAACACTGGAACTGATGGAACGGTTGTCCGAGTTCGGGGCACCAAGTACATCATCGGAATGGATAAAAGCAGTACTACCTTCCCACTTGACACTGTCAGAGTGCCCTCATGGTGCCAGAATGAGCAGTGGGATGGCCCTGCCAAAAAGCGCAGGCGTTTATAAGCAGCGGTTTAGGCCGCTACTTATCTGGGTGATGTGTGCCCGATTGCGTGGAGAAAAGTTGTGTGGCTGATAGCAGGGCACCGTCCTCCATCCGCACCCGGCGGCGATGCTTCGGCCGATGTAGAGGCGGTCGTGTAGTGACAACTTTGAGCCCGAAGAAATGTTAAGTTGACTCGCTGTCTTCCGGCGGAAGAACGGATTCTCTCGGCTTTAGGTTCCTGTATCGTTTGTCAGACTTGTTATATATGCTCTGCTGGACGTGCATGGGACCAGGGCATGCAAATCTTCGTGGGATCGTTTGGTCTGCGCTGCTGATACCTCCTGACGCCTACGAACCACCCATCTGAAGCACTTCATTCATGCAACATTTGGGGAAAAGATTACGAACGAGGGTTTCTGTTTCAGACGTTGGAAATCCAAGTCACGTGGTGTTGTTTCATGATGTTTCATGCATCTACAGATCGAGATTCTGCCTAACTATCAAACCTAAACCTACAACCCTAAGCCCCCCTCAGCCCTTAACCCTCAACCGCCTCCTGTCTTGGCGCGAGCTGCAGGATCTGGGAGGAGACAGCTCTGCTGTCCAGGCGCTGTCTTGAAAGGATCATCACGATACTGATGAGTTTTCTTGTAATTTTGTTATTCTGTTTTTGTGGTGATTGTTTTCGATTTTTGCGGTTTGGACCCTTGTGGGTCTCGGAGGGAGAGCTGTTGTGCAGTGGTTTGTTTAGCTATGCGTGGCGTTAAAGTGCTACTTGGGGGGGTGTTGAGAAGAGGTTGGGATGGGATGAATTTGGCTGAGTCGCCCTCTTCTGCTATGCTGGGGTGCGCAGATCCTGTAATACCATGAGGCCTATAAACCCTAAACCCCTAAACCCTAAACCGGCTGCAACAACATGGCCCGAGAGAGGGTCCACAGGACCCGAGCACGGGACAGTCTCAGTAAGCTCGGCCTGTCGCCCCAGCTGTCCAGACCCGGTTTCCAAAATCCTGCGCACTTGTTTCTGGAATGGGACCCAAAGGCTTCATGTACCTTTACAGTAGATACTTAAGCCTTGAAGGGATTCCTAGAATGGTACTTTAAGGCCTATGTACTATATGGGTACATGGAGCCGGGGTAATTGAGAATCTTAATTTGGGTGTGCAAGGAGACGTCGGCATCCCTTGTGTTCCCTGTTGTCAGTGCGGGGCTTCTCAGACACCTGGTAAAATCCAAACCGTAGATCCCCTTTGGGGGGTTCATACAAAGCAATCCTTCGTGGTTGTTTACTCGGGGTTAAAGCTATTGTTACTATTCCTCTAGGTGGTAGTATAAGGGAGACTCTTAAATGGGACCATTCTAAACCCTACTGCTGGCTCTCTTGAAAAGGACTTTATTGAGAGGATCTAATTTCCCCAAGGGCCCCCCCTAATCCTGACTCCTATGTTGGCCTAGGTACTAAGTACTTTGTTTGGCTTGTATCTCTGCGCTTTGAAGATCTGGCACGGTCTCGGATTTAGCACATTCGGTTGGGGGTTTAGCATTTGGTGGCCGATGTTTTCGGGATCGACCTCTTCAGACCAAGTATGTTTTGCTATCATCCATTATAATACGATCATCTACTGTAGTATACTGACAACTTGGGACGAGGGTGCTGCCTGCTGAGCACCCTGCCTGCAAGCACTTCTCCAAGAGCATGCCGAAAGCCATAAAGGGTCTGCCGGCATTTAGGCGGCAGAATCTTCGGGAAGTCCGACGTTGCATAGGTTGCTTCCCATCAGCCGAAAGAATCCTATTAGAACTGTATTATCATAGATCCCTTATATAGGCCCCCTTTTAGGAAAGGCTTTTATGGAACCCTATTCTAATTATTAAGGCCCCGATATTAGTCGCCTCCAGTTCCGCTCCGCGGTCATTTACGTCTTGGCTTCTGCCTCGGAAACTTCGAGCAGGTTCAGCAATCATGGAAATCTTTCAATCGTTTACGGTAAACGTCAAATCTCCTCAACCCTAAGCCCTCTCCTTAATTCGAGGTTCTAGATATGAGCAGCCCAACTCTTCGATTCGGGCGTCGCCTCGCAACCGAGCCAGGTGCAGCTACAAGATGTGCGGCAAATTCAAGCCTTCCGGCTGCAAGGGCACGTTGCGTAGGGTTTTTTGTAGGATCGTGTCGGGATTCTGTATAGGCCCTTTTTGTGATGGTCCTAAGAGGCTTCTGACTTGTGTTATAGTGGATTTGTAGGGCTTTTTCAGCACCTCCTAGTCTGGTGCTGTTGGACTTTAGAGTGTTCAGCGCGCAAACCCTGAATCCAGCACCGCTGCAACCCTGTAGAGGTCTGACTATTTACCAAGTATACTACAGGGGCCATAATAATTACCTAAACTGGTTTGGTGGTTCCTTATTATATTTGTAACTAGTACACACCCCGAAACCCCATTCTAATTATTGAGGCCCCTATCTTATAGAATCCTATCAGAACTGTATTATCATAGATCCCTTATAGGCATTATAGGCCCCCTTTTAGGAAACGCTTTAAAGGAACCCTATTCTAAGTATTACAGTAGAAGCCAGAAAGTTGGAATATCATTATCCTAACCCCTTTAAGGTAAATTATAGGGGATCCTACCATTATTCCATATTCCAACTTTCTGGCTTTTACCTTAAGGCCCCTATATTAGTCGCCTCCAGTTCCCCCCACCGTCGGGATGCAGGGCCTTAGGCTTTGGGGATCTTTGGGTCTACGGTTTAGGGTTTAGGGTTTAGGGTTTAGGGTTTAGGGTTTAGGGTTTAGGGTTAGGATCGGCCTTGTCCTTTTTCATGGTTCCCCAAAAGAATAAACAGACCGGCTAGTAGACCTTCTCAAATAATTCCTACTAAGTGATATCGGTATAGGGCTCTGTCTATTACTTCTAAAAGGACAAGGGTGTTTAGGATTCATGGTTTCGCAGCACTTAAAGCACTAAGCCCGAAAACCCCAAACCCTGAACCCCAAAAACCCTGAAGACTAAGTCAAAGCTCCAAAGTCCTAAATCCTGACCTGCAACCCATCCAGAAAAGTAGACTTCTAAACCCTGAACCCTGAAACCTCTGAAATCCCGAAGCTTCCCACGTTGTCCGAGGCTTGCTCAGGCGCCTTCGCAGCGATCCGCCGAGATGGATCTGCGCCTTTGACCTTTCTCGGGGGAAAGTCTTAGGGTTGAGGGTTTGGGGTTTATGGCTAAGGTTGAGGGTGTGACGAGTTTGTGCTTAATTTAGAGTTTGAGGTTCAGGGTTTCGGGTTTCGGGATTTGGTGTTTCGGGTTTGCGGTTTAGGAGTTTGGCCAGTCGGGAAAAAGAATTGGGGTGTGATTGCTAACCGATCAGATCAGCGAAGGTTGTCACGTGGGGCCATCCACCGTGTGGGGGTGACAGCAGCTCTGTGCAGAGCCAGCTCCAAGATGCTCCTTGGGCGGCATTTTTTCGCAGGGTTTAGGGTTTAGGGTTTCGGTCTAGGGTTGGGCAGCATCTTTCCGCAGTAGAGGAGTGGGTAACCTTGAGCCTTTTTTGTGGTACTACAATCCCTGTATTATCTTAGTAGCTGAGTGGATACACTTTACACTTTTTGGGATACAGTTACCGCCTCTAAAACTGAAAGTGTACACTTTTTGGGGGCTTATCAACTCAACAACTAAGTTGTAATAACGCTTACATAACCCCAAAGGTTAGCCTTTAGTTCTCTTAGGCGCGGGACAAGTAGACTTTGCGGGTGTCCGGGGAATTGGTTACAGGTCATCCCAAAGCCCAAATCAAAGCCCGGTGTCTCCAAGAGCCCAATACCCCTTGTTTAAGGAATATAGCTTAAATCATAATATGAAGCCCCTTATAAATTTAAGGTATATTGCTTAATTAAGGGGTATTGGGCTCTCTGGGTCTCAAGAAGTAGTACAGAACCCTAGAGAGATCCGCCAGAGCTGTGGAAAGCTCGTCTAAACCAATCACAAATTTTCCAGACTTTATGATAAACCTTCATGAAGACCAGATCTTAGACTCGGCAATAAAACTTCTGGAAGGGATCGTAAGCCCGAACTCGGGACAGGTCTGGAGCATTCAGTCCACTGGCACGGCTTTCGTCGCGACCTTGCGGAAAGGCGGCCTGGTTGCTTGGGGAAACATGCACCATGGCGGCGTGCTCTGAAGGCCACGCGGCTGAGAAGAAGTTGCAGTCTGGAGGTTGCAGCTTGATCTTTCAGGTATGGGGTTGAACAGCTTTGATCTGGGTGGTTGTCAAAATTAGGGTCCCTTTTTTGGGTACCCTAAATATTAGGTGCCGTATTTTAATAAGGACCCCAAAAGGGACCCTAATATTGACAACCACCCATCTGGGGAAGAGGCTTAGGGCAATCAGGGAGCTTCTGTGTTTGGAAATACTCGTCTGCGTTTGCTTGTGTAACGTAACCATTTGAGAAAGTCGGGAACACCGACAATTGGAGCCCATAAATAAGCTGAGGCAGCGCCCCCGTAGTCCTAGTACAAGATACCTTGAACCATCAGCCCACATGCTTGCACGTCAGGCTGTGTTCCGCAGACGTACACACCGGTCATGGACGGGGTTTTACAGGCATCTCGACCAGATGCACAGTGCAACATGGACTGCAGCTTCTGGCGCCACGAACATCCAGAGGAACAGCCGAAGGGAGACTGTCTCAACGTCAGGGCAAGAGGTATCTGCATTTCGACCATGCGAATCGAGATCGCCATTGGTTGGAGTTCTCAACACTGCAGCGCAGTCGACCAAACGCGCATGTTTGTCCATTACAATGGGCCGACGGGGACAATCGCCAAGGTTCCTCGGGTGGATGTGACGGGTTTGCCAATAATCTAGGTGTCGGAATCCTTAGTAAGACCTTCTGCTCATAGTTTCTGTAAATCTACAACCAAAAGACATCGAAAGCTCCATTAAAACTCGGAGCCTGTAGGTGAGAGCTTCAAGCCGCTGGGCTTTTTCGATTTTTTCAGGGCCTTTGGAAGATTATTAAAGTGGCTTACGGCGGTTTATACGTGCTTTTGCGTTCTTACTGGGATTCATCGGGTGTTGACACCGGTGTTTATTAAAGGTTGGCATGGTGCTTGGATCCAGTATGTGGTGAGCACAACACGATGGGCCACCCGAAACCTCGAACCCCAAACCCTAAAACCCTCATTGTTGTTAACAACCCCAAAGCTGTAAACGCCTGAACCCTGAAATCCAACAGCCAAAGGCCACGCAGAACCCTTATAGAGCCGTTCTCACCGTGCTGCAAAATCACGGAAGCCTTAAAAAGCAGCTGTTGTAAAATCAAACAAAGCATTAAATCCCTGAAAGGTCTCACTGGTCATTTCCAGGGCCGCCGGATGCGAACAGATCTCTGCTCGCTGGGCCTGGGGACAGCGAAAACAGAGCGCCAGGTTACAGGATTTTCAGGTTAGTACAATCCCCAAGAAGCAGCTAAAATTTTGAATTTTGCTAGGGGTCTAAGTTCAGTATAGGATTTTTGTCAAGGGTTTCAGCGTTCTGTAAGGGTTCTACAATGGCTCGTTAAAGGGTTTTTCGTTTTCGAAGAGCCCCAATACGAACTCGAAGGTGTACCTGTAAACAACTAAGGGCATCTGACCGGTGAATACTGGGGACGTGGGCGGTTTGGGAAGGCTCAGGGAGCTTAGGAATTTTGGGGCTGACCAAGAACTCTCCTGCGGTCGAAGTTGGAAGTAGAGTTTGGGCGACAGCTCGGCACACACGTATGCATGTATGTATGTATGTATGTATGTATACACTATCCATACATATTTATGTGCACTTCTACGTAGCATCTCTACGTATATACATACGTATATATACATGTATATACATATATATTTATATACACACATATATACATGTATGTATATATATATATATACACATAATTTAGGGCTGCGACCGACTCGGGCTCTTTGAAGCAACTGCGAGAGCTGCGAGTGTGTATACTTATGCAGTTATGATACGCATCAGCAACCCAGAGCCTCCAAAACCCCCTTAATTAAGGAATCTACCTAGGGTTCCTTGAAGGGATCTATAAGGGATCTATAGGGTTTAGGGTTTAGGGGACTCCAAAACCTCTTAATTAAGGAATATTCCTTAAATTATATTAGGGATCCTATTATACTTTAAGGTATATTCCTTAATTAAGGGGTTTTGGAGGCTCTGGGAAGTGGAGAAAAGGTTTAAGTTAGAAGGAGCCCCCACCCTGTAATAGTGGTATATTCCTAATAGTGGTATAATAGGAATATAATAGGGCCCTAATATAATCCTTATAGTCACGATTACAGGGTGGGGGCAGCTTCTAAGGTTTAAGCTTCAGATTAGGTCGCCAAGAGGAAGACTTTTTCTTTGGGTTCCGATTCCATACTGGCGGTGCTCAGACGCCCTTTAGAGAGCCTGGGGTCCCGGTCCAGGCCGAGACCGTGCTGGGAGAGGTGGCGCTGACGTTCTTGCGATTCTGCAGCAGGATCCTGCCGTGGGGTTTGGGGCGAAGGGTCTGGAGCTTTGAATTTCGGATGTTGAGTGCATGGGGAGAGGGGCGGGCTTGCAAGTCGAGTGTTCAGTTTGCTTGTCAGGTGCACCGGTTGTTAGTTCCACATTATGCTTCCACGTAATTCGGATATTTAGCGCCCCGGGTTGCATCAGCAAGGATCTATCTTACACCGCAACAATCTCCAGGTCCACAGGCCCGGGAGTGCAGCCTACTTTAGACGCCTCCCTATGTAAAGTCTGATGTAAAGGCCTCAGAAGCTGGCGTCACGCGACTTGTGAAAGACAAGCCCTGAACCCTAAACTAAACCCTAAGCAAACGGATCTGCTGGTCGGAAATGGGCGCTTTAAAAAAATAAAACTGAAAATCAAGCCCCTGCGCCCAAACTCTGGCAGTCTGTTTCCTGAAACCCTGGAGCCCGGATCCCAGCAAACCCAGAGAGGCCAATACCCCTTTGTTAAGAAATATACCTTAAACTATAAGGGGCTTCAGATTCTGATTTAAGCTATATTCCTTAATTAAGTGGTATCGGGCTCTCTGGGAACCTCTGCAGAGGAATGCCGGGCATTTTGAACCTTGTCCAGGTCGTGCACCAAAGAAGCGCAGGCACAAGCCCTTGTGCAAGCGCTTCCTTCTGCACGGCCTGGGAACAGTTCAAAAGTTCGAGCGCTGACGCACGCTTAGAGCCACACGTGCGTTGGGCACACCGCCCTTCGCTGGCCTGTTGACCTGGGCTCTAGATATAGCGATATAGCTGCTAGTGAGAAAATCAATTCACTGCGCCGTCAAGGAAAGTTTCCCGGCAGTTTTGCAAGTTACAAAGACACGTTCAGGATTCCAGGAACGGCTGGAACCTGGACACATCCAGAATTTGGGTCAGGTCCGGTCCAGACATCTCGGTGCACCTGCAGGTGTAGGCAGATGAGAAATCCCTGGACCTTGGACCCTTTCAATTTAGGGTTTAGGGTTTAGGGTTCATCCTTTCAGGTGCACCTTGCTCGCTTATGCAGTTTGTAGAGCATCCGTGCAGCCAGCCAGGTCGCGTTTACAAAAGCGTTACTGCCCTAAGATGAAATGTATCTCGATGCCACTCGCCGTCTACTGGCCTCCCATATATGCCAACAATCGTTGGTAAGGTTTGTCGTAAGAACACTATACGCAGGTCTACACAAACGGATGTTCACATATAAAGAAACATATATATATATATATAACATACATTCGTACATCCGTACATCCGTACATACGTCCCTTAATCCATCCATCCATCCATCCATCCATGCATGCATGCATACATACGTACAGCAAAGATGTATGTATGTGTGTGTATATATGTATATATATATATATACATGTGTATATATACAGATAGAACATACACATACTTCAAAGGCAGCTACATGCTTTGGGAAGTTTGTGGGATTACCGAGTCTGAGCTGCATCGTGCGAAGTTCAAGAGGCGGCAATATAGTGAGGGCACGAAGTTCAAGGTTTAGGGGTTTAGGGGTTGAGGGGCTGAGGGTTTAGGGGTTTAGGGTTCATGGGTTTAGAGACAGCTCTGCACCACTACCCGGAACGCTTGTTTCAAGGGACTGGCATAACCTACCATCACAAGTTGCAGCAGACACGTATTTCTCAGATTTCAGGAACAGCAGACAGAAGGCTAACCTATAGTCTCCATTGTAGTTCCTTTTTTGGGTTAACCAAAATCTCTATTATAGGATCCTAACCATAAAACTGGCTAACCAAAAAAAGGAATTACAATGGAGACTATAGGTAGGCTTCAGGCTTGAGCTGGAGCTGCTTCGTGCAGGAGTCAGAGGTCCCCAGTCAAATTTTTATTGTATTGACAGAAGCTAGAACCATAGCCGCGGGGCTTTAGACGGTTCACGGATATGACAGCGACGCTAGTAAAATACTGGGCTGAGCATGAGAACGATGTCAAGAAAACAATTACTTCGAGGCATCTTGCCAAACAGCAGATTATCCTCATCCCATGCCCAGGAATTGGTTCAATCGAGATGCATCTGTGGTCTTTGCGATGATGGCTCAAGCTCTTTCGTGCTTTGTCCACAGTGTCCCACATCTGTCCATCGTTTGCCTCTGCGAATCCATGGAGTCCTTCATGTTCCTGGCGCAGGCTACTGGTTTGTTGTGCAAACATCCCGAGATGTGTCCACTTGTGTATTGCTGCACCGCAGTTGTTTCCTGTCGCATCACTGCAAATCATGCCAAACCACTCGGCGCAGTGCAATTTGTCCAGATGCCACACCGCAGGTTGCACCACAACGACTCCGATAATGCTAGGAAACACGCGCACATGCAACACGACAAGGTCACCTAGGACGCAAGAGCACAAACACAGAGATATACATGCATACATACGTGTATATGCATATTCCCACACATACACGGACCACATTTATACGTACGTGTATATATATATATATACACAACCCTGAGCATCCCATATTGATTACAATCAATATCTTGATTTTGATGGTTCGCAGAATCAATATAATATATTGATTTCTTGACATCGATAATCAATATGTGAAAATCAATAAAACAATCAATATGCGAATCAATATGCAAATCAATATGTAAATCAATATGCTAATCAATATGTACATATATGTATACGTAC